GCCTCAACTGTTTTGTCCAGAGATAATAACGTTTCAAAAGACTAGAATGGAGGTTGTTTATAGTAGCTTAGTTAAAGCACACATTACTTTTGTTTGTTGATGCAGAACGGAATAGATAGATGGCGTTGATAACATTTTACAAGGAAAAAATTAAAGCGTTCCAAATTTGGCACAGTATGCGGTAAAGGGTTAGAGAACGCAAACCGAGGATTTATTTTCTTGTTGTGTGGGCAAGTCTATTAATTCAATATAACCATTGAAGATAAATGTCGACATTAATGTTGATATAGTTAAGTCTATCCCTACCGTACATGTAAAATATTTTGTATAAAAATGTATTTATAGTATTTTATAGTAAAATGAAATTGGGTGACATAAAAGTAAATTGTCTGCTGTATGCTGATGATGCAGTGCTTATGGCACCATCAGAGGCAGAACTGCAGGCATTAGTCACGTGTATGAAAGAGGAATGTGAAATTAAAGGTCTCCGTTTGAATGCTAATAAAACTAAGGTTCTGGTATTTGAAAGGGACGAAGAGAGAACGAAGTGTGAAATATGGGTAAATCAGGAATGTCTAGAACAGGTAAATGAAATTGTATACTTGGGAAGTGCTTTTAGCCGGGATGGAAGATGTGATTTAGATGTGGACAGGCGTGTCGCTGCCGGGAACAAAGTCAATGGTGCCCTGACTGCGTTAGTCAAAAGGCAAGGCGTAGCGAAGAGTGCACGCCTTGCAATACATAATGCAGTATTGGTACCGACTTTGTTATATGGCAGCGAAATCTGGATATGCCAGAAGAAGCATAAAAGTAAGTTGAATGCAGTGGAGATGCGATCTCTTCGTAAAATGTGCGGCGTTACCTTGGCCGACCGAAAGCGAAACGAAGAGATTCGCAATATGGCAGGTTTGAAAGATGACCTTATCACAAAAATTGATAAGGGCGTGCTTCGGTGGTTTGGGCACGTTGAGCGAATGAGTGAAGACCGAATGGTGAAGAAAATATATAGCGCGAAAGTTAATATTAAAAGGTGTCGAGGTAGACCGAGACTAACTTTCGAAGACCATGTGAGCAAATTGCTCGAAGAGGGTAGGGTCAAGAGTACTCTGATACCTAGACGTGCATGTGTGAAGAAGATAATGAATCTGAAAGAAGCGAAAGAGGTTTGTAAGTATCGTGACACTTGGCGATCTGTTCTCTCTGGCTACCCCGTCAGGGATTGTGCGTGAAGATAAATAAATAAAAAATAATAATAAAATAAAATAAAAATGTATTTACCAAATTCATGCAAATTATCAACGTGGCAACAAAATAATTGAAAACATTCTATATTTTAAACAGTATATAACATAAATCTTAACCGAACCTAAACGCGACATAACGTTGATGACGTCTTGAGAATTTACCTGTGAAATGTGCAATTATCAGAATTATTTCTATTATTAATACCACAGTCACTTACAGAACAAGTAACCATTTTGGAAAAAAGTTACTTAATAAAAATAACCACTATTACACTCTTAACAAATTACAAAATATCTAGGAGCTTATTTCTTGCGTGCCGACCTGTCATTCAAAATCGGTTACAGAGTCATGAGATTTGGTATCCTTTTCTATCTTGCATTTTTGCCATAAGAAATTTTCTTCTGCTTTGCACACTATGTCCGTCTATGCGCCAGTATATTCTAAGTCTATGTAGGATATTATTATAAAGATAATTTTTTGTTTAAAATCTTCTTCACAATATGAAAATGTGTCACATTGCGAATTTCTTTGAGATGTTTTGATGGTAGCTCGAGCCACAGATAGTCGATGACAATATCTCAAGGCGCCTAATCAGACATATTAACTTGAAGTTCACATCATCATTGGGACACTTGTTTCATCGTTTCCAGCACAATTTTTACGAACGCACCACTTTTAAGAAACAAACTCTACTTTAAATTGCTATTTATACAGTAAAACAAAAGCAAGAATACGACGGCGGTCAAGTTTCCACCAAAATTCTGAAACTAAGGTATGAACTGATAGTGAAATTACTCGAAGACTCAATGTTCTGTGGCAAGAATAAATAATATTACTATGTACAAAAGTTGCACTGCTTTGATGTTCACTACTTGCCTGCATTTTAACATCCTGTATAATTATAATTAATTAGACAACTCACGCATGCGAGTAAAATTTTTGCCCCTTCCTACGTCACGGACGATATTTCATAGTTACCAAAGGCTTTTAACACAGAGTAAAAAATACAGTACTAGTATCTTTTCATTATTTATTTTATTTACAACTGTTTTACTTAATAAAATGTCTTTGTAATACTAGGAGAGAAAACATTAACACAGAGTAATAAACTTAAAATTCGTTAATAATTTTAGTAACTTATTTTCTGGTTTTTTCATTATTATATTTTTTAAATTGTTAGTTAATATATTTTCAATAATGAACATATAAATATACGTATTAATTACACAATAAACAAAAATATTTATACATTTGTATAGAAAAATCTACGTAAACAGTGTTAAAAACTACGACGGGGGCCTTGCACTGGGCACTGGGTGGCACGACCTTGCGCCAGGGCACTCCACTAACTCTTCTCTTCTCTACTAGCTGAACCTACAGTGCGAGCGTGTTTTATAGTACTAATGTAACAAATTTTGAGTGCAGTTTTCTAAAAATATAATTTCTATAAAGCCGAATTACTGTTATAGTTATATGAGTTACTAACTAAACTTAAATTCAAATGACTCTCATGCTTATGTCTCCCTCATTTTTTTTATAAAATTGTTTATGCGAATGCGAATACACTGCATAATTCAATTTAGCAATCGAAAACTGAAAACATCTATAAAAAGAAAGTGTCACGTAAATATTTGTCAGTGCAACACTTGTAAAAATATATTTTTGTTGTAGATAGTAATAAAAATTGTCTTGTTTAATAAATGTTTTTTAATTATGTACATAATGTTAATAAATGATAATGAGTATTATAATATCCAAAATTTTATTCCTAATTTCGTAACAACCCCTAGCATATTTGCGACGACGGCGTAAATAGTAACTATTTATGCTGCCGGCGGCATTACCTGACAACATCAAAGGCGTTTCACAACTGTTAGCTCTTTAAAGATTTTAGCTGTGGTTTTAGTATTTACGTCCCGCAGGTAGCAAGAGTGAAAGAGGCCTGGTGTTGCCAACAATAAAATTTAAAATCTATTGTGCTTGTTAAAGATTTCCGTCAAATATCCGTTAGAATTATAATATATTTACCCGCCAATAAAATCCATCAAAAGAAAAATGCAACTGAATATTGGTCCCGGCAACCCTTTTCAACGGCAACTAGCCTTTTGGGCAAAACATGATTATAGTGTTCTAGTGTAAATAGAAAATGCATTAAACAAACAAACAATTTTTAAATTTTTTCTTTGAAATCACTGCCGCACACATAAATTTAGCAACGTCATATTATATCGTAATCTGATGAATACTATTTGTGTAGGAATGCACACAGGACAGACAAAGCAGCATTAATTTATATGTGTATTTATATCAAGCCTTACCGTGTAGTGGTGGTGTAAGAATATCCACTATCTAATATCATCTCGTGGGTGTCGTAAGAGACGACAGAGGGAAACAAATCAGGAGTTGGACGGCAGCGTCTTGGTAATAACGACTAAAAATAAAAAAAACTGCGTTTGCCAACCCGCTTGCCAATCGTGGCAACTATGGTAAATATCCCTCCTATGAGGCAATCTATGGGGGAGGCTATGTTTAGCAGTGGACTTGAGTAGGCTGTAACGGTAACGGTAACGGTACAGGTATATTAAATAATAAACATATTTTATGATTAAGTTAAGATAGATTAAAAAATAATATAGTACGTGAGGGTAATATGGTCACTTTCCTGTAACTCAAACACTACAGTCTTGTTTGCATACATGGCTCTGGGTATAGAAGTATAGAAGTATTGGGCTGTGTAATTACTCTAAGGCTCTGGGCTACGATAGCTCTTCATCAGTCAATTAAATAATAAAGGGTCAAAAAAGGCGCTACTTTATCGGCGCCATTTTGACAGTTGACGTTATAGTAAATATATTATAGTCGATTTTAGTATTGTGGTGTGTAGTTAGTTTTTTTAAATTGATTTTTCGAAATGTTCCTAATTATTGCCAAAGTTTGTTCGCTATTTTTCTTTAAATATATTAGTTATTGTATACGACTTTGTGTTTTTCTCTCTGTCCTCCTCCTAGTATGGGTTTTATAGGGCGGCGAAGCTTAAGGTGACCATATTACCCTCACGTACCTTACTTGTTGAAAGCAACTTTTTTACTTCTGTCACTGGTTTGGTAAAACAATATTAAAACCAGAAGGACTTTATAACATACACGAGATTGTAAAAATATATACGAATCGTATATTTATCTAGAGCGCTCTGTCTGCCTGTATCTTTTTGTGATAAGTAAAATAAGTAAATGTATAAAAGTTCTCTCTTGATAAACCTTAAATATGAGTAAGGATAAATAATGCTATTCAGTTGTATATAAAGTATTCGGTAATAAATATTTATGGAAAAAATAATTTAAATATCATGGTAAATTATTTTACTACATTTTATGTTAAATGACATAACTAAAATTCGACCTACTTAAACCACGTTTTAAAACAGGCAAGTTTGAAATTTAACAGTTTTGATTTTAGAAACAAAACAAAAAATCATAAATGTAACAAATACGTCTTTTTGGAAGGTTTCTTACTAGTGAGAGCGTTTTTTATATCCAAATTCTTTGTGATGTAATATTTTTTTACAAAATCTTGTGCGTGCAATTAACGTTTTATTTTATTTATTTACTCTCTTTCATGAGAGGTGAGTGCCAATTTAAAGCCAACGTAGGTAAACCGAACAATTTGACAGGAGCGTCACTGAAACTTGGTTATATTGTGAACAGTGAAATGTCCAATGTATCCTAACCGGGTTAGGATAAAGTGGATAGTGCTCAATGGCTGAGCGCCTCAGTCCTCGAAGCTCCGAGGTCAATGCCTTGGAACAACGAGGATATCTCATTGGCAAGAAAGTCGGACAAGGATCTTACGCCACTGTACACCTGGCTGAATATTGTGATGCATCCAGCCCCAAGCGGATGCACCTCGCGTGCAAAATATTTGACAAAGAGAAAGCGCCGCGTGATTTTTTAGAAAAGTTTTTCCCTCGAGAACTTGACATACTTACTAAGATCGAGAATCCACACATTATTCAAGTACACAGCATCCTACAGAGAGGCCCGAGAGTATTCATATTCATGAGATATGCCGATAACGGTGATTTATTAGATTTCATAAAGCGCAATGGCGTAGTACCAGAAAATCAAGCAAAGCTTTGGTTTAGGCAGATGGCTAGCGGACTGCACTATTTACACAGCAAAAATATTGCCCATCGTGATCTTAAATGTGAAAACATATTGCTTTCCAGGCGATTCAATGTAAAGTTGGCAGATTTTGGTTTTGCTCGGTTCTGTACTGACGGTGAAAACAGGCGTGTTCTTAGTCAAACGTATTGTGGATCAGCAGCGTACGCGGCTCCAGAAGTAGTTAGTGGTACACCGTACAACCCGAAACTAGCAGATGTATGGTCTCTTGGCATCATTCTTTTTATTATGTTAAATGCTTCAATGCCTTTTGATGATTCGAATTTACGTAAACTGCTAAAAGATCAGATGTCACGTAATTGGGTGTTCCGTTTGAGAATTCGGGACACAGTATCAGCTGCGGCAAAATCAATTGTACGTCATATTTTAGAGCCCGACATTACTTTACGACTGACTTTGGATCGTGTGCTAGCACATGAATGGACAAGACCGAGAAAGGATAAAAGTGCAAGTCTAATGGGTCGATTAGTACAGTCCGCACCATCAGCCCCATATCCTGGAGGTAAGCGTGAGCACGATGAAGCAGGTCCGTCTGCAGGTGTACGAGTGTCTGGAGATCATCGCGATACAGATCGAGAGCGACACGATGACATTAACATGCGTTCCCGTGATTAACCTAAACCTTTCCCCTATCAATATCACTCAGTGACAACCACAGAGTTTTGGACCAACGTAAATTGAAAATTCACTTTATTTTGATTTTTTTTTACAATTGACGATATAACTATTGTTAGCCGTCAATAGTGAAATATTTTTTATATAACAAAGTTTGTTTTATTTGCATACAAATATCGTTTCAAAAAGTCTTTATGTAAAATGAAAAACGAATCACCACATTAAAGATTTTATTAGATCAAACAGATTTGATACGTTCCAGTTGAAACTCGTACGTGTAGTCGTGTTTACGTGTTTAAGTTTAGAGTATCCGGTTACATTAAATGGGGTTCGGATAAATGGATATTTCACTCGGAATATTAGCCATTGTGTAGTGACATTATAAAAAGCAAGTACAGTTGTCACCTTATTTATGTATTCAACTCTTAAGTAGGTAAAGTTACCTTCGACGTCCTGTCTTTGAGGCTGCAAAATATAAAAGCCACATAAAATAAAACCCAGTGTTAATTCTACAAATTAAAAATTGTTACATGTAAACAATTTTTATTTATAAGCAAAAACTTGATACAAATTAAGGGTTGGCTTTGGTCCTGGAACTTGTAATTCAAGAGCTCCTTTCTGTCCTTAGGGCCCTTTCTTAGATAAATTTTTTACTTATAGATAAATCTGATAACAAGTGGATGCTGTGGGCCATAGACATCTACATCTATCCTCGATTAAGAATACAAATGCAGATTCGTTGCTACCACCAAGGACTACTTTCTTCCAATCTTTTTATGTAGACTACAAATTTTAAAATTATCCTCGTATCTTTTCCATCTCCAATTTTCCACTTTTTAAGACCGTGACGCGGCGTGTAGTATTTCCATTGATGATCGGGAAAAACTGACAAAAGATGGAACGCGTTGTATCAGGTATCGTATTGTACTACAGTATCCAAAATACGTGTAGTAAACATTAGGTTGAGTTGGGTTCACAATTGTAAAATTTTATTGTCACACACATGGTTCCGTGAGCGTGTCAGCAATGCGTGTCAAAGTGTGCGTGTGGTTTTTTTTTTTTAAATACTAGTAATGTTATGAAACATTACTAATATTCCCTTTAACCACTTCTGGTAAGCTTAAAATGCTTGTGTCCACCACTAGTTCACGATAGTAGTCGAATGGCGGATTCGAACCCACGACCTTTCGAGTTCGCGGTCCGCGCCCTGCCATTAGGCTACTGACGATACTGGTTATGTGAATGGTTTTTGTTTTTCGAACAAGTATGTTGATGGCGGTTGTACAAGCTGTGCCTATCTCGAGTACGAGTGTCTCGTCGCGTCTTGCGGCTCTCGTTCGCTCTCGGAAGCGTGTCGCTTTTTTGCACTCGATTCAAAGGGTCTCGTGAGTCTCGCGATAAAAATGAGAGCGCGCCTGTACTCACTCGTTCGTTTAGTTTGATATTGTTAAATATAATTAAAAATTTTGTACAACCGATTTCAATGTAAATTATTAAGAATAACTCAAAAACTATTGTTCAGACCTTGATTAAATTTATATGGGACCACATGTGAAATTCAAATAAAAAATCATCGAAATCGGTTTACCCAGTAAAAAGTTACGAGGTAACACATAAAAAAACATACAGTCGAATTGAGTACCGGCTCCTTTTGAAGTTGGTAGAAAAAGTAGGTAGTTACATGGTTCTTTTACGGTGAATAGAAACCATCCACCATCTTCTTTTTCACCATTACTTATTAATTTTCTTTTTATGGTAAATGTGTAAAAAAATTATAATAATTAGAGCACAAAGGCAAAACGCAGCAACAGATTCTTCTAGGTTCTCGCAGCGGGAATCCTGAGTTCAAGTGATAGAACATGTACATCGTGGTGTGCTATCGTGTCGAGCATATATAATATACTATATAGGGTGTCGAGCCTCTATGCAACGATGCGACGAGTACCACGCGAGGCGACGAGACGAACTTGTACAGCCGCAGAGGCGTAGCGTGGACTAATATAGACGTGGGCGAAGTCAGCGAGGCCCCTTTTCTTTCGTTGCCAAGATCTACCCAATAGATTTATCCTACCATAGCTATTAATTCCTGACAAGTCTCGTATTCCATCAATGTAACGGTCGGAATCTTTGAAAGTAGTCACAATGGCCTCTCAGTCGCAATTAAGAGATGCTTCTTGCGAGGCCCCAAACAAAGTTTTAAAGTGATGTTCTTTTTCGAGCGTAAAGTTATCAAATTTATTAGTCATCTGTGGTGAAGTCTGGGGGCATCGCATTTACGGGGCCTTACGAGGCCCTTTTAAGTGCAAGGCCGTGGGCGAGGGCCCAGTTCGCCCACGCCTAGCTACGCCACTGTGTAGCCGCCATCATATATTATCTGCGAGACCAATAGATTTCCATACTTGCATTTATGTCACGCAGCGAAGTGCGTCAGTGACATAACGGCATTATTGCTACGGTCACAGGCTAATAGTAGTATGTCTCTTGCGGGAAACTTATTGGTGGATTGTGTCGGATGTCGGTACTTTCGCCCACACTATCCCTCCTTCACGTCAGTGAGCAGGGATAGTGCGGACGAACGTCGTGAACGTAGCTGTAGGGATAGGAACACAATATTATAAGCAAAGTATGTACAGGAAATCAATTAGAATAAAAAAAAAACCAAACTAAAAGATTTACTTTCATCTATATAACTCCACTTACTTTAACTAACACTCGGTAATTTCGACTGAAAAGGGGAATAAACCCTTTATATTCATATGATAAGACGTCTTCATCTCCACGAAAACCTATAAGAATGAAATTTTATGTAATTATAAATGAATGAAGTTTTAAAATATTATCAACTCGCTTACTAAGAGTCTATGCTGATCCGTCAACTTGATGTAAAATGCGATTATCTTTAAATAGATTTGTTTTGGAAGAGGAGGGAAACGAGCGTGCGGCTCACCTGATAAGTGATTATCGTCACCCATGAATATCTGCAACACCAGTGGCATTGTAGGTGCGTTGCCGGCCTTTTAGAAAGGAGTAGGCTCTTTTCTTGAAAATCCCTAAGTCGTATCGGTTCGAAAAACTGTGGGCGAGAATAACGGTACGTGTACACCAAAACCGATTTTGTCGGCCGATGGCGGTCAGAACTACCCGGATGACTAACTCGGACGTGTATGTGCTTACACTGCAACAGTGTACCACGTATGTCGACATTGAACGTTACCGGTATTCTGTAGTTGATTGTGTTGCTTAATAGAGTGAAGACACATTTTTTTAAACATCTGAAACCGCTATATCCATTTCCGATCCAACTTTAGCTCATAACCGTTTTGAAACCTCTCGATTATTGTAATTGTCTATTATAAACACAACTAATTGATTTTTCAATATCCATAGTCGTTTAGGTAGATAACAACACTGACAAAAACAACAGAATAAAGACAAAATTATTAAATTAAACTATAAATACACTCAATTTGCACTGTAGACGCCGGCAATCTGGCGAGATATCCCAACAAGTTCAGACTCAACGGTTGATCGGCTGATTTCGTGCGTCATCGGACGATGGCGGTCGTGTTTGTGTACGCACTTTCTTACTTTTACAAGTGTTTGATTCGATCGTCCGAGTTCGGCCGTCATCGCCCGAGCAAACTTCGGCCGTTGACGGATTAGGTGTACGCGTACGCTAACAGTTTGACACTGCTACCTATGCTGTAATATATATATATATATATATATATATATATATATATATTACGTCGTGAGTAAACGATAGTTATATCGCAGTCTATAGAACTCATACGATTTTTCTCGCATTTCCTATACTTTTCTTATGACACCCACATGATGAAATAGAACAATACAGGATGTATTTGTCTATCGGGATGTATTGCTCTATTTCGTCGCCGCTACCACACAGCAATATTGCTGCGCTTTCAACTTTACTGCCCTTCTTAGACCTTACACACAAGTTGACCAACCCTACTATCATAAAGTTTAAGTACAGCACTTACATTAAAGGGCGTTTAAAGTTGATGAAAATAGTAGGCTCTTTTCTTGAAGATCCCTAAGTTGGTCACAAGAAGGTCGAGGCAGAAAATTCCGCGTAAATTGCACAGTAGTGGACCGCCAACCAACAAGACGATAAGGATGAAGTTTTGAGTGTTGTCGTAGTGTAGGATGGTGGAACTCAGTAGCTGGAATTAATCTGAACAATTCCTCGAGCACTTCCCGTAATATATGTGATAAAAATGCACAGAGATGCAACGTCTTTTCGCAAAGCTAGTGAATCAAGTTGATTGGAAAGCACTTGGTCGTAGAAGATTTAGCCGCTCTCCGTTGAATGTGTTCAAGTGGAAGGCGCTGATGCTGGAGTGCCTCGGATCAGAGATGAGAATAGTATTCCATATCAGCAAGCGGTGGACCGGAAATAATATCTCGGTCTACTAACCAAGTTTTTGTAAAAAGCTGTATCGCTGCGCTGTCGCCGGCTACATACGACTAGATATTTTTGTCACATTTTTTTTGGAAATTACACAACACATCCCGCCACATCCCACTTAACGTTTACAAATGTACCTAATGAATTATGTGCTATATATTCTCAATCAATGCTTAGAATTAGCTACTCATATAACAGAATATTATGCTAAATGACGAGTTGCTAACGTATGAAATGTTAAGTATGAGAATAAAGGAAAGAAATATGCTGCATGACGAATTCTTTTAAAGATATTCACCACACTCAATACGCAAATACGCTGGATTGATAAGCACCTTGTCCACACCTACGCATTGGTGTTGCTGCTCCTCATAACCAATCTGTGGAATTGGCTTCGGCATATAGTTATCGATGGATTTTCCAACACCAGGCCGAGGCTCTGGCGGCAGACTGGTGAGGGTCATGCTTAGTGTAAAGGCTAAAGATTGTCTCACACTCACTGTGGCTTATTGAACATTTTGACACAATTCATCGATAAAGAATCATTATATTATATTTTTGTATACTG